GAGCTATGTAGCCACAACTCACTATGTAGACCAGGCCAGTCTTGGACTCGCAGAGCTTTGCTTCTCTCTGCCTCCCAAATGGTGAGATAAAGGTGTCTGCCACTGCACTGGGTCGGAATTAGTTCTTTGTGAGACAGTGCAAGGGTGAGGATGGAGGTGGGAGAAGGGGTGGGTGGGGTGGTGGTGAGTGTTAATGAACCCCAAGTCCACTGACCTCACCAAATTAGACTCAGAGACGTTCTCTTTTCTTCTCTTCTCTTCCTTTTCCTTTCCTCTTTCTTTCTTTCTTTCTTTCTTTCTTTCTTTCTTTCTTTCTTTCTTTCTTTCTTTCTTTCTTTCTTTCTTTCTGAGACAGGGTCTCTCTCTATGTAGCCCTGGCTGTCCTGGAACTCACTATGTAGACCAGGCTAGCCTCTGTCTACTGAGTGCTGGGATTCAAGGCATGTACCATATGCCTGGCTCCATTATATTACTATTATTTCTGGCTGAAGTGTTTAAAAGTCCTAAGGACTTTCCTGGATAAGAAGCATCTGAGAGAACATTAGACCTTGATACGAGGAAGTGAGACAAAGCTGTCTTCTCTACTTTGCGTTTATTGTCTGGAAACGCAGGGTCCTGGATTGGGGCATCAGGGCACTTGGCTCTCTAAGGTAGTGAAAGAAGGAAGCCTTCAGGAGCTTGCCTGGCTCTGAGGCTCTTCACAGTTGCCTTCCTCCCACACCTCTTTTCCTCCTCTTTTCTTCTTCGAAGTACTTGGGATTGAACCGGGGTCCATTACAGACACTTAGCAAATCCCCAACCCCTAACTCTACCCCCGCGCCTGCCCACGGTAGTCTTTCATGAGCACTTACTACGCACCAAGCGTTGGAAAGACATGGCTCCTGTTCTCACAGAGTTGAATGAAGCCTGTCTTCTCTAATCTGCTTTATCCTGCTCTGCGCCTTTTTAGGACTTCATACAAATCAGAGTCATGGGGTACTTACTGTGTACACCATGGGCTGTGTTCCACAAACCAAACATGTGTAAAAGCCTGTCTCATTCTGCTAGGGAGGGGAAAATGACTACAGTTCTCTTCAACACCACATCGTGGGCTGGAGGTGGTCCTAAGTGTCTACCTGTGCTCCATGTAGCAGCTCAGGGGTTCCACACACACTGTGACGGCACCAATGGTGAAGCAGGACTTGACATTTGGGTCTGGGTGAGTCTGCAGGGCCTGCACAACGTCAACGATATCTGTGTAACTAGAGGGAGAAAACACATGGTTAGTTTCCTGGTTGGGGCTACAGAACAGGAGAACAGGGGAGCGCTGAGTGGCTGAGTGGACAAGGGCTGAAGACCCAAAGCGGAAGGCTGTCCCAGAGTTCCTTGGTGGTACCTCACTTTATGATCCAGAGCCCCTAGAATCCACAGCGTGCTTCTTCATCCCCAAGTTCTTTTGGTTCCCCTAAAGGGGAAGAGTGGGTGGAAGAGCCAACCTACTCTGGAGATAAGAAGTGACTGTGTTTTCTGGTCAGAACTCAGGGGCTCCTGCCAGACTCTGTTTTCATTAGTTCTTTCCTCTCCCTCCCATCTCACAAGGTCATCAGATCTGTCAAATACCATTTCTAGCCCCATCTTCTGCCTGGAACTCCCTCCAATCTTATTTACAGAGCCAGTCTGATGTCTTCACTTAGGAGCGAATGTGTTTGTAATCCAAACCCTCGAGCTGGTTCCTCCCAGGTTCCTGTTATTCTAAGCCCAGGGGACTTCACTCTTTCAGACACTGGGCCAAAAGATCCGTGTCCTCTTTGACTCCACTTTTCTCTTACCCTTCAGCATACGCCTGAAGAGATCACTGCTCACACTCCCACTGGGTCCAGAGTGCACCGTACTTTACCTAGGCCACCCCAATGGCCACCCAGCTGCCCCCCTACTTTTGTCCTGCCTCACTGCCAACTGTTCTCAACACAGAAGCCAGAGGGATCTGCTAAGCCCTTTGACAGATCACATTACTGCTCTGCTCAAAACTGGTTTCTGTCTCAGTGCAGAAGCCGAGCCCCTTACTGTGGGCCAGGCAGCCCTGTGCCATCTGACCTCTCACAGCACAGGGGAATGGCATTACTTCTCCCATCCCTTCCCCTAATCCAAGCACTTTGGCCTCCTGGGTCCTCTCTGGACATGCTGGGCATACTTCTACATTTGTTCTCTGCTCCCTCAGGCTGGGATGCTCTTTTCCTCTGGTATCTGCCTAGCTGGCTGGCTTCCTTCTGGTCTCTGCTCAGGTGGCACTCGGTTGGTTTTTGTGGTGCTGGGGATTGAACTCACAGAGTGTTGCACATGCTAGTTGAGTACTGAACCACTGAGCTATGTCAGCTGGCACCTTATGGAGACATCTTGGGTCTTCACACACTGCAGTAATGGTTATGCTCTTTTGGACACCTGTATCCCCTCCCCCAGTTTGTCTGCAAAGCACTGACTGTTAGCCACAGTCTCTCCTTGTTCCTTTGTTTTCTCTGTGTGCATCTTTGGTCCCATCTTCCCTCATTTATCTGCTCACTGTCTCTGCAATAAAGCGGCTGTTCAGTGTTACAACTTCTGAAGCCTAAAGCAATACAGATCAATAAAGGGGACATTCGACCTCCAGCAGACCCCAGGATGACTCTAAGGGGCCTCTTCACCTCACAGGGGACAGCCCTGTCCCAAGGGACCCAGACTATTACCAAAAGGTCTGAGTCTATGGAGGGAAGTCAGACCCGAGGGCATCTGGCAGATCAGAGGACCTGCGTCTGTGTGGGCCTTTGGGAGAGCAGTGGGAGGTGGGGGAGTGGGTGCAACCTGCCCGAGCTGTGTCCCGAGTTCCTACACGCGACTCACCTGTAAAAAGGCCCTCGGGTTGTCCCAGATTAGAACATCATCCTCGGTCCTGCCCAGCCATCAGAGCTGCAGGGCAGACAGGTGTGGGCACCTGGCTATTCCAAGGGTGTGGGCATCTGGCTACTCCAAGGGTGTTTACTTATTTAGCTATAGGTAGACTAGAAGTTGCTTTGTAAACCGGGTTGGCCTCAAACTCGTGGGAATCCTGCTTTAGACTCCCAAGTGCTAGGATTACTCTCTGCCTGGCTTGCTCAAGAGACTGCTGAGTGATTCTTGGGCTCTGCTCCCTGGCTCCTCTCCCAGGCATGTGTGTGTCTATTTCCAGCACAGTGCTTGGGTGGGTCCCGGTGCCACAGGGGAGAACCACACGCTTCATAAGCGGACTGACACTCGCTCACTGTCCTGAAGCTCTCTGTGGAAACATTAACCAGACTTGCCGTTTCTGGATGAATATCCAGCCTTGTGCCTCAGTGTTGACACCTCCCCTCTTCTGAGAAGAAGGGCTTACTGGGCCGGCTCAGATGGTTGAGCGCTTGCCTAGCATGCACAAAGCTGTGGGTTGGATACCTGGCACCTCATGAACTGGGCACTCACTGTCCCGCACATCAAGGGCTGTGTCTGGATAAACAAGAGCACCATCACAGCACAATCATCGGGCTGCTGTAAGGAGAGGAATTCATTCTTATCTTTCGGGAAAACACTTAAAATTCTTTGAAATTGCTTTGGGGGAGCTAGAATGGATCCTTGTCATCTTTTTGTCATAATGCCTCCGATTCTGGTCCCCTTGGGTGATGATCACAGTAACTGTGATACAACTTGTAAGCATCCTCACCAGCCTAAGCCACAGAGAATCTGCCACTGACGACACAGGGTCTCACTATAGAGTCCTGAGCTGGTGTTACATTAGGGCTCTGTGAGGGTTTGGCTCAAGGAACACGACCCTGCAGCAGCCACCTGGCCCTATAGCAAGGCCTGAGCCTCCCGCCTGGCTGCCCCCGAGGCCCCGCTGCTTTCATCTTCTACTGTAGATCGCTTCCTTAACAGAAACTTTAGTAATTCTTTGATTTTTTTTTAGTCATTTTGAGACAGATCTTACCATGTAGCTCCACCTGTCCTGGAACTCTCTCTGTAGACCTGGCCTCAAACCCATAGAGATCTGCCTGCCTCTGCCTCCCCAATGCTGAGATTAAAGGTGTGCACCACCACACCTGGATAGAAATACTTTATTTTCAAAACAGCTTTAAATTTTTAAAATTGCTGGCCAGCTAGAGGAGTTCCTTTATACCACCCCAGCCCACACAGTTCTTCCTATTAGTAATGCCTTATTGATGGAATCACATTTGTTAAAATTAATGCACCAATATTGGTATATTCACTAAAGTGCATTCCCCACTCTAGACCCCGGCATTCTAGTTGAGGTTTAGTGTTTCCCCATTAAAATGAACAATTCTCGAAATGACATAGGATGTCAATTGTCTCCCCCTCCTTCTCTTCCTTCTCCTTTTCCTCTTTCTCCCTTTCTTCTTCTGCTCTTCCATTTATCTTTATTTTTAGATTCTTTAAAACAATTACCTGGCCGGGCGGTGGTGGCGCACACCTTTAATCCCAGCACTCGGGAGGCAGAGCCAGGCGGATCTCTGTGAGTTCGAGGCCAGCCTGGACTACCAAGTGAGTTCCAGGAAAGGCGCAAAGCTACACAGAGAAACCCTGTCTCGAAAAACCAAAAAAAAAAACAAAAACAAAAACAAAAAAAAAAACAATTACCTGAGTGCATGTGTGCGCATGTGTGACTGTGTATGGTTACGTGCAGGTGAGATCAGGCGCCCACAGAGTCCAGAAGAAGGTGTCAAACCCCCCGAGCTGGAGTTACAGGCAGTTGTGTGCCGCCTGATGTGGGTGCTGGGAACCAAACTCAGGTCCTCTGCAGAGCAGTACATGCTCTTATTGCTGAGCCATCTTTTCCTCTTGGTTTGCTTGTTTGTTTGTTTTTGGTTTTTATTTTGTTTTGTTTGTTTTGTTTTGCTTTGGGTTTTTTTTTTTTTTTTTTTTTTTTTTTTTTTTTTTTTTTTTTTGATGCAGAGCTGGTCTTGAACTTGTCGTAATCCTCCTGCTTCATTCTCTGGAGTGTTGGGATTACAGGCACACAGCCTCATGTTCAGATCCCTGAGTATCTCTGCTTACCTGCCTCTTGAGTTTCCTGGTGAGGTTTCTGGCCACATCTCTAGCCCATTTTTATGGGATTTCTTTTTCTATTTATTATTGTTAAGTTTAAGAGTTCTTTGTCTATTTTGAGTAATAGTTCTCTATCAGATAGTATTTTGTAAATATATTCTTCCAGACTGCAGCTTGACTTTTCAGTTTCTCTGTCTTTGTCTGTCTGTCTGTCTCTCTCTCTCTCTCTCACTTTTCAGCCTCTGCAGTTCAAGAAGAAATATTAGAAGGTGTGAGAATGATGCTGAGCGCCAGCCCTGCACATCAGCCCACAAAGAGAGCCCATTGGATGGGTGTAGTGATCATGATATTACATACAACATACAGGTAGAAAAGTTTGGCTGGTACAAAATGGGATGAAATAAAAGTGGAGCTTCCTTCCTCTTCAGGATGTAGATATTCTGGAAGGTTTAAAAAAAAACCTATGTTTTAAAAAAAGACTTGTTGTATATTTTTGACAAAATTATTCTCATTATTTTAAAGTGTGTGTATCTAAGTATGTGCACTTGAGTGAAGGTGGTGGCCGAGACCAGAGGAGTAAGATAGCTCTGGACCTGGACATTATTCTTTCTGGCTCAGTCAAGAGCCAGCAATCCCAGATATGAGGGGATGGGCTGTGGCTGACCCAAGGGTGGGCCCTACTGTATGCAGATGAGGTTGGCACTGGTCCTGGATGGAAGCTCTTCAGTATCGACAGTGGCTAATTTTGGTCCGCAGTACCATTTCATGTTCTCCTGTTTGCAGCTTGAGTGGAGTAGGGGCTGGAATGTTTGTTTGTTTGTGTGTTTGCTTGTTTGTTTGTTTGGGAAAGCCTTTTTCTCTTTATTTCTTTTTTGTTTGATTATTTTTAGACAGGGTTTCATTATATAGCTCTGGTTGGTCTTGAACTCACAGAGATCCACTGCATTTGTGGTCATGGCCTTCCCTCCACATTCCCCGTGACAGGGCAAAGAATCCAATCTTGGGAAGATGGTTGGAAGTCTTCAGTGGCTTCTTCAAGCTGATGGGGGATGTGCTGGCTTCACCTATTGTCTGCTCTGTGGAGCTCTGTGGAGGTGCCACGGAAAGAGAGCAGTTAGGGGTGGCCTTGGGAGACGTTCTGTGCTGCCTGGTCAGGGGCTGGGGCAGGGCTTCTGATGGGCGTCAGAGCCTTGTTGAAGCATCATCTGGGGGGCGAATTGTTGAATCCCGTGTGATGTTGCAGGGAGCCCCTCAGAGGAATGTGCCAGTCTCACGAGGGCTGGCTGGAAGAGAAGGGAGAAAGAAATCCCTGAACACTGGGAACAGGGGCTAAGCAGAGAAAGAGGCCAGGCATGGCGGCGCACGCCTTTAATCCCAGCACTCAGGAGCCAGAGGCAGGAAGATCTTTGTGAGTTCAAAGCCAGCTACAAGACAGTCAGCACTACAAAGAGAAATCCTGTCTCAATAAATAAATAAACTAATAAAAAACAACACCCCCCCACACACAAGAACAAAAATAAAGCTTCCTCTTTCATTTGAGCTGAAGATGCTGGTCTGTCACCCCTGGGGGAAGCAGAGTCGTCTGTAAAAACAAGGATCCTTTAGATTTCACCAGCGAGTTGCTGGGCCAGACCTGGGGCAGACAGAAAGTCCCAAGAGTGGATCCCTCATCGCTCAGGCAGCACTATGGCTAGAGAGAGCTGATCAGGGAGATCTTGTGGCCCCACAAGGGGCACCCCAGTCAGAGGCTTTCTGATGACTCCAAGCACACATCATGCAACTGTCCAGAGTCTCTAGCTGGAGAGAAGAAGGGAGGTGAAATTCTCCTACTATGCCGTCGGTGTGGCAAAGGGATTGGTGGGTCGGGAAAGAATTCGTTCTTCGACTAGAGTAGAAAGAAAATGTTTTTTTTTATTAACTTCGGAGAGAGCAGTGGGCATGGCTGTAGATTCTAGTTCTCTCTCTCTCTCTCTCTCTCTCTCTCTCTCTCTCTCTCTCTCTTTCTTTCTTCTTTTCTTTTTCTATCGAGACAGGGTGTCTCTATGAGATCCTAGCTGTCCTGGAACTTGCTATGTAGACCAGGCTGGCCTCAACCTCACAGAGATCCACCTGCCTCTGCCTCCCAAGTGCTGGCATTAAAGGCGTGTGCCACCATGCCTGGCCTTGTTTCTAGTTTTCTAATTGTCTTTTTTATTTCTTCCTGAGATAAAAAGCAGCCATCATCTCATGTGTCACCAGGAAGCCTGTTTGCCATGTACACATGTCCAAGCCTGGGTCCTGTGTGTGTGTGTGTGTGTGTGTGTGTGTGTGTGTGTGTGTGTGTGTGTGTGAAAGGAGATAGGTAGCTGCTGCTGGGTTTACCCAGCATTCCTTCCTTCCTCCTGGGCCTCCATTCTTTCCCACCCTTCTTTCCACTCCCTCCCACCTTTTTCTTTCTTTTCTTTGGGGTCTGGGATGTAACCAGGGTCTGCGGCTGTTAAGCAGACACTCTACCACTGAACGGCTCTCCCGGTCCACCCCTCCTGGCTCCTTTCTTTGATGAACTGCTCTCCCAAGGCAATTATGTGATTTCCATCTGTTGCAAGTTTCTCCTTAGAGATGAGATTGCAACCAAGTCCTGGCATCTCACTTCTATGGAGGCTCATCTGAGGGCCCACGGAGACAACGGGGACAAAGGTAATTGGACAACTAAATTGGAGACCTTGTAGCTTTTAGCTTTAGGTAAGGCTTGAGCCAGGAACCAAGTGATATATTTAAGGACCCAGGGTCACGGTGTCTCTCTTCTGCTCTTAGTCCTCTCTTCATCCGGGCTTCTCCTAGTGACCCAGGCTGATTGTACCCATCCACTAGGGAACACAGGAATTGGATTTATTTAGTGGCACATCTGGCTTTGGTTGAAATCAAGGCTTCCTGCCCCCACACTCATACCAAAAGAGGAGAATGAAGGGCTAGTGAGGAGGCTCATTTGGTGAGGTACTTGCTGCGTGAGAGGGTGACCCCTTAAAGAAGGAAAGAGTGAACTGACACCACAAAGATGTCCTCTGAACTCATGGGCATACACACACACACACACACACACACACACACACACACACACACACCCGTGCACGCTAATAATAAAATTAGAAAAAGGAAGAGTGGATTAATTTTGGAAACCCTAACCACAGAATTTCATATTTATTTCTATTTAATTTCCTTTTATTTTAGCTATTCTATTTAAAATCTCCACGGCTTGTGTTTGCTCTCTCTTTCATAGCTGCTTTCCTGTTTTGTGAATATAGTAACATTCAAACTTCCCCTTTTCACAAACTCCTTTTTGTAATTCGTATTATCTGTTTGCATCAGCTTGTTCACCTTTTGTTTACAGGGTTTTTTTTTGTTTTTTTGTTTTTGTTTTTTTAGCAGGCAGTGTAGCTGGGTAGTTCAGAGCTGGGCTCAGGAAATGGCTGCCTGTGTCCACATTCCATCCCCACCCAGCTGCTGCACAAACCTCCAACTCTGGTTTCTTTACCATCGTGTGATTCAGCTTCCTGTGAGCAGAGATGATACTGCAAGCTGGTTCAGAGGTCCATGTCCTCCATGTACCGTGCTCAAAACGCTGCCAGGGCCACGCCAGGTTCTCTCTCTCTCTCTCTCTCTCTCTCTCTCTCTCTCTCTCTCTCTGCCCCCCCCACCCCCACCCCTCAGCTGGTCTTAAAATCTCAACTAGGCACAAACTATCATGCTTGCTTGTTTGAACTCCCAATCCTCCTGCCTCCAACCTCTGAGTGCTGGAGTTACAGGCGTACACTTCTACACCCAGCTCATCTTTCACTCCAGAATCCTTCTCTCTCTACTCTTCCTCCTTCACTGTCTAGTATTGGTCTGGTGACCAGCTCATCTTTATGCAAAATGGTCAGGGCTGACTGCCAGAAGAGCATCCCGAGGCGCTCTTCCCACCCCATGGTAGCTTTCTTTATAGGTCTGTTTGGGTCTGATTTTCTCTACTCCCGATTGTATGTCATTGGGTTGCTTTGAATGACATGTTCCCCATAAATCTCTGGTATTTGAATATTTGGTCTCCAGTTGGGGGCCGTTTGGAGAGGATTAGGAGGTGTGGCCTTGCTGGAGGAGGCGCGCTATTGGGGGCAGGTTTTGAGGTTCCAAAAGACTCTTGCGTTTTCCAGTTAGTTCTCTCCGTCTCCTGCTTTGAATCCAGATGTGAGAGCTCAGCTGCCACACCAGCGCGCAGCCTTCAAAAAATCTAACCAACAAAGAGCCCCACACCTCTGAAGCTAAAAAACACCAGGAATCTGAAGGGGGAGGAAGCAGAGGGCTCTGGCACCCTCTGGAGGAGGCTGGAGGCTCTGCACAAACTCTGGCAAACTGCTTGGAGCCCTTAATCTGGGTAGGGGAACTGAATGGGTTCAGGAGTGAATCTCCAAGATTTACCCCGGGGCACATTTTCTATTAGAATAATTACATAAGACCTCATGACTAACTTCTAGCTAGTTTGACATAAAAAAGCACGAAGTATGCAATTTAAGAAAATGTTCCAAAGCTGGGCATGAGTTGCATTGACCTTTACTCTGTCTTGCTTAACGGTTGGAGCGCCAGCAGTTACCTTGGACCATGAGTAGAAGCATCCGTTGAAGACAGCTGACTGGACACAGCAGGGTCCGGTTTCACTATGATCGAGTTGCCAGATGGACATGGTAGCACACAGCTGTAATGCCAGCATTTGGAAGCTGCGGCAAAAAGATCACAAGTTCGAGGCCAACCTGGACTGTATAATAAGTCCCTATTTCAACCCATTCACACACAAAAATTAACTGCATGCCATTGTTAACTTGAGAGAAAGGGAGACACATTCTGTTTTATTTATACTACTGCTATTTGGAGGTTGGATTTTTGTAACTAACTTTTCCCCTTTTATTGAAAATAGATTCTTTTCTCATACAATATAGTTTCCCCTCCCTCTGTTCCTCCAAGGTCCTCCCCACCTCCCCTCTCATCTAGATGCACTCCCTTCCTGTCTCTCATTAGAAAAGAACAGGCTTCTAAGAGATGACAACAAAATATAGCAAAATAAAATATAAAAAACAAAAACCATCACATTGAGGCTGGACCAGGCAACCCAACAGAAGGAAAAGAACCTAAGAAAGGGTACAAGAATGAGAGACCAGCTTGTTCACACACTCAAGAGTCCCATAAAAATACTAAACTGAAAGCCATAATACACACTCAGAGGACCTGGTGCAGACGGAGGAGGCCCTGCACTTGCTGCTTCAGTCTGGGAGTTCATATGGTCCTTGCTCAGCTGATTCAGAGGCCCTTGTCCTCCTGGTTTCCTCCATTCCCTCTGGCTCTTACTCTCTCTCCACCTCCTCTTCTGGGGGTTCTCCTGAGCTCTGAGGGGAGGGATTTGATGGAGACATCCCATTTAGAGCTGAGTGTTCCACAGTCTCTCTCTCTCTCTCTCTCTCTCTCTCTCTCTCTCTCTCTCTCTCTCTCGTCTTGTTAGTCTCTGTATTTGTTTCACCTGTGGCAGGAGGAAGTTTCTCTGATAATGGCTGAGCACTGATCTATGAGTATAGCAGAATATCATTAGGAGTCATTTTATTGATATATATATATATATATATATATATATATATATATATATATATGACTAGTAGTATTTGGTTTTACCCTTGGTCTCTGGGATATCTAGTTTCTGGTTCTTGATTACCCAACACTGTTGTGTATGGGTTCCATCTCATAGAGTGAGGCTTAAGTCAAATCAAGCATTGGTTGGTTACTCCCATAGCTTTGTGCCACCATTGCCCTAGCATATTTTGCAGGCAGGACAGATTGTAGATCAGAGGTTTTGTGACTGGGTTGGTGTATATGTTTCTCCTTTGGTAGCCTGTAGAGTACCTTCCTGTACCAAAGACACTAGAGTGTAGGGGTGAAGGTTCCATGTAGACACCAGCTCAGCCTTTCCATGTTCAATGAGTTGTGTGGGTGTTGTTCTCAGCAGTGGGGTCTTGTGGAGAGCAACCTACTGTCCTGGCAACAGCCGGGGCTATTTGGGGATTTCCATTGGACCCTTTGGCCAACAACTCAATTGGATGTAACCCAGTCCTGGTACTGGAAGTTTTGTTTGATGACAAGAGATGAGTTGGGACTCTGTCTCCTCCATTATTTGGAGACTTCATTAGGGTCACCTTCATATATTTTAGGAAGTTTCCACTGCACTAAATTTCCCTACCACCTCAAAAACCCCTCAATCCTGCTCTCTCTCTCCTCATCCCCTCCCCTTTCCCATCTGATTCTTCTGTTTCAGTCCTCTCCCCCCTCACCACCTTTTTTTTTAATCCAAAAGAAAATTCTCTAGGAAAATCCCAAAATATTACCATAGCTTGATTCTTCTGTCTAAAATGAGACCAACGGGCCTCGCCTCACAGGGTGGGTCAGTTCACTTGCAGGAGACTTACTTACAGAGGTTTCCATAGACCCCAGGAAAGGATGAAAGGATGAGTTGCCTGACTGAGCCAGGTAAGCCAGTCCTGAACTCCTTGTGCTAAGAGCAAGCATGTGGTGCTTCTGAGGCCTCAGTTTGTCAAGGAGCTGAATAAGCAAGCGCTAAATTCCCATTGCCAACCACCAATAAACCCCCAGAGCTGCAGGGAAACTCGGGTGTGGCACCTACAGTGACCCCACAGGGTATCATGGGGGCTCAGGTCTGGCTGGTGCAGGCTCACGCAGCTCGACTTCATTCCAGACCACTGGTTCATCTACCTCTGTGTCTCTTCTACTTGGGCCAACGTGATACCTGTAGCCCATCTTCGCAAGACACATGTGGGAAGGCCACCACAGAAGAACATTTCAAGACCTTGCTCATGTCATGTCCATTCACATCTGTTGGACAAAAAAAGTCACAAAACCAAGACCGAAATTAAAGGCTGGAGAACACTCTTCACCTGTCATGGGGTGGATGAACATGGTCTGTAAAGTACTGGAGAGCTGGCTCCCAGGGACTCTCCCCAAAGGCTAGGTAGCTCAGAGAGACAGGTTTGGCCTTGCCGGAGGAGAACACCAGCCTCTCTTCCCATTTGCCCGGGAGAACGCTTCACTGTGGCCCTGGGTCCCACTTCAGCTGCTCAAGTCCTCAGGTCCTTGGCCCAGTCGGGGCTGTCCCACGGCTAGGCCTTTCCTGGCCTGAGATTGTGCAAGGCCTTCAGCTGCCCTCTGAGCACACTCCCAGCCGGACAGAGAGAGGGTTGAGGGTTCAGTAAAGAGGAAACAGTCCCCAGGACAGGATCCTCCTCTCCTGGGAAGCAGAAGCAGCGAGCCAGCTGCACTGGGGGCTCTTTGGCCTTCCTTCCTGTTCCCTTCTCTGGCAGGCAGTTCAGCCAGCCCAGCAGCCATTTCCTCCATGAAACTTCCATCTCCGGGCTGCAGAGGAGCCAGATCAGGGAGTGGGGAGCCAAGTGGGGCTGGGACTTTCTGGGGTGGGGTATGCATGTGGATGTGACTCTCGGACCTTCCAAACACTTGCAAACCCTAAACATGAACTCTAAGCTATTCCCTCATGCTAGGTCCTCGCCATCCACCCCCACTCCCCCACCCCCGCCTTGCCCCAGTCATCACCCTACTCCCCACTCCACAGCAGCTATTCCCATCCCAGGCTCACCTCGTACTCCACAGCAGCTATTCCCTCCCAGGCTCACCTCATACTCCACAGCAGCTATTCCCTCCCAGGCTCACCTCGTACTCCACAGCAGCTATTCCCATCCCAGGCTCACCTCGTACTCCACAGCAGCTATTCCCTCCCAGGCTCACCTCGTACTCCACAGCAGTTATTCCCATCTCAGGCTCACCTCGTACTCCACAGCAGCTATTCCCTCCCAGGCTCACCTCGCTCTAATGGCAGCTCCAACCGATTACTACATGCCTTCCTCCCACAATCTCAACACATCATCCCAATACCACCCACCTCATTCCTACCCAGGCCCCATCTTCCCTCACCTGTACCTATTCCCACCCTAAATTCCAATCCAGATCCCAGCCTACCATCTGGCTGGACCACGCCCATCCCACCCCTAATTTTCTCTCTCTAGAGCACCCCACTCAGCTTTATTCACATCGCTATTTTACCTGCTGTGGGTTCTTCAGTCAGAACTGGGCAAAACTAGGTTGTGGGATGAGCTGTGGACTTTCTACTACTTCAGTCACAGTCAGTGGGTAGCTGCCGGGCCCGGTGGCGTAGGTTTGTAATCCCAGCTACTTGGTGGGCTGAGGCAGGAGGCTCATGGACTGAAGGCCAGCCTGGTTACAAATTCAAAGACAGAGCTGGAAAAGTTATCAACAAGAGGGGTGGTGACTAGGTATGTGATGCACTGGCAGAGTCCTTGCCTGGTATGCATGAAGCTCTCGGTTCAGTCTCCTGACCATATAAACCAGGGATGAGGATGGCATCTCTAACCCCAGCATTTGAGAGGGAGAGGCAGGAAGATCAGAAGTTCAAGGTCATCCTTAGCTACATAGGCAGCCTGAGATACATGAGTCCCTGTCTCAAAAAAAAAAAAAAAAAATTGATGTTGGGCTTATGCTTGGGCCTCTCCTCTATCTTGAAGAGAATCTACCCCTAGAATTGCCCACTGCACTCTTACTTCTCTTTCTGGGTGTCCTCCAGCTGGCCACATCTGTATCCCTCTCTCCAGATGATAGGGAAGTTGGGGGAAGCCCTGGGGTGCAGGAAATAGAAACTGAATCTTACATTGAGGAAAGCCACCATGGTGGCCCTCCCTGCTCCTGTCCTTTCTCTGCCTGCTGGCCTGGGCTTCTGAGGTCAGCGGTCAGGGAGTCTCAGCCTGTCTTCCCTAGATGTCCGGGACACTTACTCGATTTCACGTGCAGTCAACACAGGGTTTCAAAGTATGCCAGGGCACTAATGGCTCTGGCACGGCACGTGCCAACTCCAGTGTGGGCATTCAAGCCCTTTCTTCAGTATGCCCTGATTGGGGACTCAGACACTTCTCTCTGAGGACAGTGCTGGTCAAAAGTCATGTCCACAGGAGGATTTCTTTCAGGGCCACAGGCTCTCTTCCTCCCTTTCTCCCAGGACCGGAATTTATCCCCAGGGACTGCTGGGTGCCTAACTAGGTTGACCACCCCAATCCAAGCCCATGGCACCTCCCCATCTATACCAGGGCTTTCACGCAGGGACAGAACTCTTCCTTTCTGGGGCTGCCCATCCTCTTTTTATTAAAAAAAAACAAAACAAAACAGACCACTGGGCATTTGGGGTGGAACAGGCTGAGTCAATATGCTGGACTCCAGTGGGACTGGCCCCCTGTCGTACTGGGACTGGGCGAAATGAGACACCATTGCCATATGGTCTCTCACACACTGCATTCTGGGATTTGGATGTTTAAATCCCACCATTCCTCAACAAAAGTCCTCATTACCATCTCTAGGACCTCAGTTCTAGGAGACAGGGAGCTGGGGACAGCAAAGACATAGCTTGCTGCTGTTCTGGCTGCAGGGGAACTGGCCCCCGGCACCATGTATGTGGATCTAGGCCCTAGGGCTAATCCGACCCCAAATGTACTGTATTCAACAGGCTGACTTTTCTTTTCTTTTTCTTTCGTTCTTTTTCTTTTTTTCTTTCGAGATAGAGTCTCCCTGTGTAGTTTTGGTGCCTGTCCTGGATCTTGCTCTGTAGACCAGGCTGGCCTCAAACTCACAGAGATCCACCTGACTCTGGCTTCCCGAGTGCTGGGATTAAAGGCGTGCGCCACCACAGCCTGGCCAGGCTGCCTTTTCTCAAAGTGTCAGGACAGCCAACTTTGTCGCTCAGATGGTACTGGAGGCCTGGGGCCCCTGGGGAGCAGAGCTCTGTCTGTACTACTTGGGTCCTTTGCCACCTTCCCTGTGAAGGCATCTCTTTTGCTTCCTCCGTGGGGCTAATTGCTGCCTGGGCGTCTTGGGAGCACCTCAGATCCCTGTCCAGGCCTGGACTCTTGCTCAGCCCACAGGTAGCCAGTGCAGTCACGTGGTGGATGGGCGGGGGGGGGGGGGGGGGCTGGGAGATGTCATGAGTTTCCTGTCCCTACTTCCAGCCTCTCCAGGCCTGCCTGTCACCCTGCTGAGTCAGCAGGCAGCTGGGAGGACACAGAGTTGCAACACATGTGTGAGAAAATACGCATCAGATTGAACTTACTCTTCTGTGTTTAGGTGTACATTTACACGGTTCCGTAGCCATCACCACCGTCTATTTCCAGAACTTTCTCTTCATCCACAAGTTTCTGTACCCATTAGATACATCCTTATTCTCTACTACTCTCCCAGGCCCTGGTAACTTCACCCCATTTTCTGTCTCTAGAGCATACAATAACTCGAGCAATGCAGTATTTGCCTGATATGGCATAGAGCAAATGTCGGAACGGCACCCGTCCTGACTAACATTTTACTATACACATGAGCACATCTCTCTGTCCATTCCTCTGTTGATAGGCGCAGGGTTCTTGCTGTCCTCTGGTGAGACGCTGCTGTGGACGTTATTTAGAAGTGTCTCTTTGGTGCCTTGCTTCCATCGCTATAGGGGATAAACCCAGGTGTGGGATTACTGCCCCATTTCATAATTCTACCCTGACTTTCTTGAGGAATCCTCCGTCTCCCACACTGCTCCATTTTACATCCAACGAATGACGCATGGGGCTCCCATTAAACGGGGCTCCCATTTCTGCACACCCGCCTCCACAGTGTTTCGTCTTGTCTTTTCATTAGTAGCCATCAGAGAGGTGGGAGCTCACCGGTTGTCCTGTGTGTATGTGGTATATTCCCGTGTTTGTCGACGTCTGTCCAGGAGCAGGACACTGTGTGTCCTCCTCTTTCACTTTACACTTTATTCCCAAGACAGGATCTCTTACAGCTGAGCTGGCTGGCCAGCAAACGCCATCCGTCCTCTGTCTCTGCTCCAACCCGTGCTGGGGCTGGATGCATGCCCACACGTGGCACAGGTACTGTGGTTCCTACCGTCGGAGCCATCTCCCCAGCCCTTACTGTGGTTTTGACTTGTGTTTTCCTAATGGTTTACCTGTGTGTTTTTGTTTTTTCATTTGTTTACTGGCCACCAGTCACCATGTCTTCAGTGAAAAGTGTCTATTCAAGTCCTTTTGCCCATTTTCCTAATTGGGTTCTTCTATTTTGGAGGAGGCTATGCTATTGACAGAACTCTCTACATGTTCTGGATATTAATCCTCAATAAGTGAGTCTCAAATATTTTCTCTCATTCTCTGGCTGTCTTGTCTTCATTTCTCTGCACAGGAATTTTTGACACACACAAAATCAAGTCCACCTGTCTTAGTTAGGGTTTCTATTGCTACAACAAAACACCACAACCAAAAGGCAAGTTGGGTGGAAAAGAGTTTGTTTGGCTTACACTTCCACATTGCTGTTCGTCAGTGGAAGGAAGTCAGGACAGGAACTCAAGCAGGGCAGGAATCTGGAGGCAGGAGCTGATGCAGAGGCCATGGAGGGGTGCTGCTTACCGGCTTGCTCCCCCTGACTTGTTCAGGACCACCAGCCCAGGGATGGACCACCTGCCATGGGCTGGGCTCTCCCCCATTGATCACTAATTGAGAAAATGCCTTACCTCTGGATCTCATGGAGGCCTTTCCTCAACTGAGGCTCCCTCCTCTCTGATGACTCTGGCTTGTGTCAAGCTGACACAGAACCAGCCAGCACACCGTCTTCCCTATTCCCTCTTTTTCTTTTCTGAAACAGGGTCTACCTCTCTTGCCCACACTGGCCTCAAACTCACCATCCTCCTGCCACAGCTCCTGGAATGCTAGAAGTACAAAGCACACCACTGTGCCTAGCTTCTAATTTAGGAAAGCACTGCCTGACCCAAAGC